AGATGAAAGAGGCGATAGTGATTTACACAGAGAAGAAAAGTAAAACGATATGCTATCTCCAAAATCACACTCGTTACGCAATATAGACAATTTGTCCTAAACAATAGTGACAAAAAATATTACCACGTATTACTTAGTTTATTAAAATCCAATTATTTTCTATTTTTGACCTATACGCAATAAACACAAATTGATTTATTACCACAAATGCAGTATTCACTAATTCACAGGAGGATTGAAGTCAGGCACGCGGCAAAATATAGCCAATAACTGAAATAACAACATTCCATGTCATGTTGTGCCGACCGCATCCCGGGGAAGGGAACATAAGGGAAGAAATGCAGAATTCACTAACACAAATGCCAATCATTAATACATTTTTATAAAGAAACATGTAACCGAAAAGGTTACATTTTATGTTAGTTTTGTTAAACAAAAAAACCACACGTGTTAAACAGCACCACGTATTTATATATTACAGGACCTACTGTATTTCTATGTCTATACATCGTGGTTAGTTTAGTTATTAGAATGAAAGATTTTCTCCTGTAGGTACCTACTGCTGACTGCTCGTTGCACGCATGACTAAAAATAGGCACGGATCAATAAGCCGGCACAGTCGTGGATTCGTGGGGCAGGTCAGTGATAAATTAAATTTTAAACTAACAGAGATCTGTTCAGGAGTATTTTCAACGTTGAGGAGATAAATGATTTAACATAAATTCGTATTATCCTGTCCATCGACAGCCACGACCACTCAGCCAAGAGTGTCCGATTAAGAAGAAGAAATTCGTATTTGCCATACACGACGAAAAGGTAAGTGTATGTTTCAAAAGCTAAAGATTGCAAATACAGGGGTCTAGGCTCCGAAAATGAATTGTCCCGTTTGTCGCCGAGACCCTGGGTCCGTTGGGTCCAGGCGCTATAAGGCTTTTTAAATAAATAGCAAAAAGGTTAGTCGACATCACAGGAGACCGAAGAGCTGGCAGCTCCAACCTTGGACAAAGAATAAGTCTAGCCATAAAAAGGGGGAACGATTATCTTCGGACTCCTTTTAAGGATTCCTTTTAATAATAATATGTTTTACTTATATATATTTTTTTCAGGTTTTAAGTTTTAGATACATTGTTCTAGTAAATATTTTGTATTAGTTTATCATTTGAATGTTATTATATAATTTTAATGTAAAATTAATAACTAGGTAGTCATCGTATTTATGAAGAATAATAAACTCAGTCTTATTTAATAATGTCTTTCTATATTACATTTACAACATTAAATGGTCCCATGTTGTTACCTTAAGAGTTTATCTTGTCGTCGGTGTACTTTTGGCCTTTGTAAACAGTTATCAAACACAGCCTGTAGAAAGGCTGCATTAATCAAATGTATTCCATTCCTGGGTAATGAAAAACCATAAAAAAAAACCTTATTAGGTTTAAAATTGTACAAGGGTGCTTGCTTCTAGCAAGCATCAAACATAAGTAGGGCCCTAATTCTAGTCTCTGAATACGTCCGCAAATATAATATTGAACTATTAAACCAGAAATTTCATTTCCCCCATCTCGCCCCCTCGTTTAATTATGTAATACAAAGGTGTGGCCACTTCGCACCTTCGTGATTCACATTTCAAATACTTTGGAGGGAAACGCGACATGTGGCGAAATAAATCAGATGTCTACAGAATATATGATATAATATATGAACACGCACTTACATAAAAACTTACGCCATCGCAAATCAAACCCAACAATAACTGAATATTTTCGAAAACGTAATAAACGATTAATTAATCAAATATCGAACTGATTTAAGGGTGAGCAAAATATTATAATAAAACGAAGTGCTCGCGACCATTTTTCCAAGAGCCTTACTCTTAGTTCCCCATTGCATTATAACCTATCGAAAATGTCGAAAATAAACTCGCGTTCAAATCCGTTAATTAAGTTTTTTTATAATCTCATTATTTATAAGCCAGTGATAAGATTGACGTGGACCGTAAACTAGTTTAATATTTCACGTCCAAAGAACCGTTTACAAAAACGGTTTACAGAAACATATACCCCGACAATTTATCTGTCCGTCTCTTCTATTACTTTCCCCCATCTAATATATAAAATTCTTGTGTTACAGTTGTAGTCTTTATACTTCTCCGAAAAGGCTTGACCGATTTTGATGAAATTTTATAGGTATATATTTATTAGGTATGAGAATAGATTTATAATTTTTTTTAATATATTCAAGTAATACTTCTTTAGGCGCGTTGTGTAAAATGATGAGAGGGAAATTTTAAAATGCGCACGCATCACTGTAACTCAAAAGTAACATCTTTGACGCTGCCCGCTAAGCCGATAATTTTTTTTATACATGCCAGCATATTCTCAATCACATTCGCCTTTTACAGTTCTTAAGGTGTTGAGAAATCGTCGATGAATTATTAGCTCCAGCTCGGGCGTCGAGACATTCATGTCGTGAGGACACCGGACAACAAATCTAGAGGTCTTCTGATCTAGGGACCTTCTCGAAGAGACTCTAACTGTACCTCAAAGTGTCCATGGGCGGCGCCGATGGTTTTACATCAGGTGACCCGTTTGCTCGTGTGCCTCCTTTTTCCATTAAAAAACCGGCTAAGTGCGAGTGGGACTCGCGCACAGAGGGTTCCGTACAATCTATAAAACCGGCAAAAAATCTTTGTGTTGTATGGGAGCCTCACTTAAATATTATTTATTATCTCTCAGTATTTGTTGTTATAGCGGCAATAGAAATACATCGTTTGTGAAAATTTCACGTGTCCATCTATCACGGTTCATGAGATACAGCTTGATGATGATACAGATGGACAGACACATAGATAGACAGACAGCGGAGTCTTAGCAATAGGGTCCCGTTTAAGTGATTAGACCCCCTGTTGTACCCTTGTATCTTTTAATTATAAATATTCTACGTCTCTTGGTGTTCAATAAAGTATATTTTTACTGTACTTTACTTTTTTGCGCAGTTGCCAAGGTGTTGCCTTCGGAGTCGGGGGTCGTGGGTTCGATCCCCAGACGGGACAATTATTTGTGTGACCCAAAGATAGTTGTTCCGCATCTGGGTGTTTGTCCGCGTGAAATTTATGTTTGTAAATCGCCCTTACAACGTAGGATAATGTTATCCTAAAGTAAGGGCAGTATTTACAAAAATAAAAAACTTGAGATCGTCTATTTTCCTACAATCTTTCTGCACATTTTAAGTAAAATGTCTCCTGACAAAAAAATTTCAAAAACTTCATGAATTCCCCTACACGAGCTATAGAGCTGTCGTGGCTTGCGCACTTAGACACGTAACACGACCTCAAAAACCTAATACAATTACAGCAATTTGTCCGTAATCCATTGGAGGGCCGATACAATCAACGAATGAAGTGAACAATGCCCATATTTCGAACCCCGAACAGCGCTCATTGTGACACAGTCGTCTGTCATTGTTAATTAACAGATATTAATATTTTGATTAACAAATGTTAATCAAAAGATTAACAATGACAAAAATTAACAAACGCAAACACACCTAGTTTCATTCAGTAATGTGTAATCGCGTAAATACGAGAAATTATTATTCACACTAAATTTTACTTAAAATAAATTTGACAGTAATAGATAAAAAGGCACGTCCGTCCGGGGAAGAACCACGAACTCACAGAAGACCGGCGTGAAGTGGAAGTGTTATACTTCTGCGTTTTTTCTGTTATGTGAGGTAGCTGAGACACACTTTATAAAAAGGTGGCAACGGGTGTCGCAAATTTCCATGGCCGGTTGTTAACACTTAGCATCAGGTGAACCGCCAGCACGTTTGCCACATTTACACATAAACAAAATCATCACCACCCACCGGCGGACCCAACAGAGGCTGTGGTAAACCCACATGACATCACCAATTTCGATGACTCCGTGGCGCAGTTGCCAAGGTATTGGCTTCGGCGCCGGACGCCGTGGGTTCGATTCCCACACGAGACAACGATTCGTGTGACCCATAGATAACTTTTTCAGATCTGAGAGATTCCTCGTGAAATTTATTCATGTAATATTCAATGTCCTTACATTACAGAATAATGTAAACCCACAGTAAGGGGCTATGTTATCGAAGGGAAGACTACGATAGATTTATTTAAGCCGCACTGGTCTTTGAGACTTTAATACCTAATCTATCAAGTAGAAAGTATCAAGTAGTAGAAGTAAGTATTAACTTACTTCTACTACTTGATAGTCAATAGATAAATTGTCGAAAAAATGTCGACATTATGGGATTCTCTTATGGGTAACACGGCTAAAGTCGCTAGCCAACTGAGCGAAGCGGTCAATGACCTCACAGTGCGAAAACTTTTGCAACTATCCACTCTTTGCAAACTTATCCATTGCATTATCAACAATGTTTTTTTTTCTTTTTTTTTATTATATAAAAAACATTGCCCTTACTTTAGGATATCATTATCCTGTGTTGTGAGGACGTTTTACAGACATAAATTTCACGCGGACAAACACCCAGATGCGATACAACTATTTGTGGGTCACACAAATAGTTGTCCCGTGTGGGAATCGAACCCACGACCCCCGACGCCCAAGCCAATACCTTGGCTGCTGCGCCATGGAGTCATCAAAGGTATACAATATATGTATTCAGCTCACATTTAAATTTCTTTCTATATGTAGATTAATACTAAAGATAAAAATTAAACCTAAGTTGCTCCAAATAAACTGATCATGTAACTTAATCTCAAGAAAACTATTTCGTACGAGTGTTATGTTCAAACAAATTGCATTTAATTATACCATCACTAAAACAAATACAGTTTCATTTAGTGATGTGTAATCGCGTAAACAAAAGAAACTATCGTTTTCAAACCGAGTGACGGAGCGAGGGGTTAATTTCGAATACAGAACGGACTAACGTATCTGAATAATCGAATAATTTAATGACAGCCCGACGATATCGACCCGTACGATAAAGCATCGGCGAAGTTTTCAGCCGAATGAGTCACGCGATGCTATCGGCAGACATCTTGGCGCCGCCGCCCCCGCCCAGCCTTGCGATGCATACTCGAATAAGGCCGGCTGCAGACTAGCGACTGCTGGTGTGCGAGGTTTTGTTTTACTTATTAACGCGCCTCGTTTCTGTAAACAGATTGCACTGGCAGGCAAATTCGACGTTAGAATTTCAGAAGCCTCGTTCGCTTTTCGAATTTCAAAATAGGCCTGACAAGTGCCAGCTGCGGAACTTTAATGTTGCCCTCATAAACGGACGGTGGTCATGTAGCGAGCATTGACACGTTAATATAGTTACTAAGCTCGCTGTTTTATCCTATTCGTACGGAACTACGCTCTACTGTGCTCATACCCAACATTGAATAAAATTCTTTAAATAAAACCTGCTATATGTATAAATGAAAAATTATGTTTTATGGAATTAGATGCACAAATGAAAAAAGAATGGTATAAGGAAAGTTGAGAAAGCTTTACACTTTGGTCGAGCGCAGCAACGGATGCTGCTGAATGGTTGGGCTTGCAGGGGACTTCCCGGGGTATGGAGTTCACATAACACAAAGTGTAGAAGTACTAAGCAACCTCTTCAAGGTTAGCACAACTGTTAAGGATGTCCAACTGCTCGCGAAAGAAGGATGGTTTCGGTGGTCTCGTGCAAATTGACGAATTAAGGAAGACCCATCTTCTAAATGATATTTTGTGATGCAAAAATGGAAAAAGTCCATGTAGATAGAAACAGGTGTGGCTGAATGAAAACAAACTGAGCGATGAAATATCGTTTAAAAGCCTTTACAAAAAGGATTATGCGGACTTAAGCGTAACATACAATATGAAAGATGTAAATTATTTTGTTTTTATTTTGTTTTTATTTTATCTTGTATCTTGTATTAACTGATGTTTTTGCTTTTTATTTTCATCTGACGCAGAACCCGTTTTTTGGGATTTTATTTTATGTTTTGTTTGTTATGTACCAAATAAAAATTTCTTTCTTTCTTTCTTTCTTTCTAATGTGGGATGAGAGGTCGACAGTCATGTGGTGTTTCTGTTATTTTGAGGCAGGCTCAGGTTTGCCTCATCAGTGGTTCCTCAGACCTGAGACCTTTACTCGAATCAAAGGTCTCTACTTTCTAGTGACATTTACTGTTTATTTTCCGTTTCTAATATATCCTTATGAACCGGAAACATCACTATGCCTAGTATTTTGTCATATTGAAACGGAAACTACAACGCAGTATAGTAAAATCATACTGGGATGGGATGGACTGGACTTAATTGTATATTATGTACCAACACTTCAATGATATAAAAAAGTAGTTATAGCTAATTGTTGGGTCGCTCGCTTCTTATCACTACATAGTATAAAACAAAGTCGACCCGCTGTCTGTCTCTATGGATGCTTAGATCTTTAAAACTACGCAATGGATCTTAATGCGGTTTTTTTACTAGATAGAGTGTTTCAAAAGGAAGATTTATATAAATTCCACCCGTGCGAAGCCGGAGCGGGTCGCTAGCTCAATATATTCGAGCAACCTGAGTTCAAAATCGAGGTGCCGGCATGAATTAAATATTGAAATTGTTTACTGCAATATTATGTTCCGATTTATCACTTAAAAGCAAACATTGTTAGGAAACCTGCATATTTTATAAGGGAAGTTTGCTTGGCTAAGATGGGGTTGCGTGGTAGACTATGCTCTAATACTCTTTGTATATAGTAGGACTTTGCTCAGCACTACATACAAGTATACAATTAACTTTACTTCAATATTGATGTCAACGTTTACTAAACGATTTATAAAATTTTAATAATTATAATTTTGATTTAATTTTGAAGCTCTGTTTCTGTACTTGCTGTTTCAAAAGTCTTATTTTTATTTTAATATCCAGTGTTACACGACTATGATTGACTTGTCGCTAGTCTGTTAGAGCCCTAAGCCTTTATTATCTGAGCCATTTATAGAATCAAGCTAATCCAAAGGCCGTGTACGTATATTTGAGGAAAGACTTGGTCGTAAACGCCGTAATATAATGTAAAATGTACGATTATATAGCTTTTTATAACGTCATTAATTCAAGCAGAAAGTAATTTTTCTTTTTTAGCGCGTGAAAAAATCGAAAGGCTATTCATGAATTATACCTATTTCTGTATACACTACTACACTTTCTGATTGTTAATCCACAACATATTCTAACAATGCTTTAACGTCATAGCATTGAATTCAGAAATGTTTGTTCTGATAACAATAGCGTACGTTGAAGTTAACCTACTTTTCCAGGTGTGACGCATTTTAGTTTGTTTCTCTTTGTCACTTTTTAGGTTCGGGTGGATATAACATTAAAAATCGGACAACTGTGCGCACGAAGGGTTCCGTACCATTATCTATAAAAACGACAAAAAATCATATCTGTTATATGGGAGCGCCGCTCAAATATTTTTTATTCAGTTTTTTAGTTCTTGTTGATATAGCGGCAACAGAAATGCATCTGTGAAAATTTCAACTGTCTAACTATTCCGGTTCCTAACATACAGCCTGGTTACAGACGGACAGATAGACAGACAGACAGACAGACAGGCAGAAAGACAGCGAAGTCTTAGTAATTACTCTATTGCGAAGGCACCGTAGAAACGCATATGTGATACTTATCACAACTATGTTTTTGTCGAAGTACCCCTTAAGAATTCACAGATATAACGGATTTAAGTTTAAAAAAAAATGATTTTTTTTGTATAAATCGGCAATTTAATACGTACGAAAATTGTATAACTTATTTTCCCTTATTCGAGAGTCACGAAGCTTTCTGTAGCAAAAATGGGCAAAGCGTGGAAGAACGGTGTAAACTGGAAGTATTATACTTTCGCATTTCATTTGGTGAGTGAGGCATCCGAAGCCTATTTTCACGTCCATCATGCGAACTGCCTGCTGATTTGCCAACTTGTAACAAAGAAAAGAGTTTGGCCGCCTCGTCAAATAAACTGATATACGCGCAAAGAAAAGTCTCGAGACCATATTTTTTTTAGAATAAGCACTTTGTTAACTGTATTCATCGCAGAAGTGTAACACTTCCAGTTCACGCCGGTCTTCTGTGAGCTCGCGGTGCTTACCCGGACGGACCTGCCCATTCGTGCAACGGCGAACGAAAACTGCTGCGAGGGCCTACCACATATACGGCGTGTCGTTACCATCGCGACAATAAATGAACACACATATAGGGGATAACTTTTTAAAGTTGTATTAAACATTTAAATTCTTTAAACATCAATATTTACAGAGTTATAAAATTTTCCAAAACAAAGAATTTTAGAACAACCTTACCTATAAAAGTAACGTAAAGTTCATTTGTAAAGGTCACAAAGCATATGAATGGGTTGAATGAATTTAAAAGAGACAAAACATACTGTTAGAAGGAGAAGCTTGTAATGCGACGCTGTGGCGCGAGTTGTATAGGATGTTACAAATTTTGTTTCTTTTTTTACTTAATTAGTTTGTTTGAAAAATATTTTTTTTGATTATGGATTTTGTTTAACGTTAATCTTTTTTTATGATTATTGACAAGTAGCGTTAGACGTGTCTTCATTTATTGTCGCGATGGTAACGACACCCTGTATAGTACCACACGTAGTGGTACGCTTCTAGGTCTTCACTCACCTAGGAAGCTGGATTCATCGTCGACGCGGTCCTGCAACGCTTGCATGACGAGCGCGGCCAGCAGGGCGGGTCGGGGCGGCAGCGGTGGCGCCAGACCGCGCAGGTACACCGGCGCGGCGGACCACACGGCGCCGCAAAGCATGCCCTACTTGCCGCTCATCACCACACCCCTGCGGAGGCAACAGAGGCTGTAGTACATCGACATCACTTCATTCAATGATCTCATTCGCTGCAAAGCATACCCTACTGGCCACTCATCATCACATCCCTGCGGAGGCAACGGAGGCTGTGGTACATCAACATGACTTCATTCAATGATATCATACGCCGCAAAGCATGCCCTACTTGCCACTCATCATCACAGCCCTGCGGAGGCAACAGAGGCTGTGGTACATCGACATGACTTCATTCAATGATATCATATGCCGCAAAGCATGCCCTACTTGCCAGATTTAATGTTCAATCTTAAGTGCAGAGATTAGCACTATAAAAAACTTTAAAATTTACAAATGATTCATTAGGATTTGACCCAAACATCATGCATGAAACCACGCCGCTGTATAAGTAATATTGTACGTATTTAAACGCCGCATTTTTACATTTAATTAATATACGTAACTTTTTCCCGTAGTTAGTGTATTAAAATTATATCCTACAGAGTAATGAGAGTGCTTTCCATTTTATAAACACGGTGGGAATGAAATGTGTCAAGCGCAGACTTGTACGGTAGTTTGTACTACTTGTGAATACATGTTTTTACCTTTAGACTCATACGAATGTGATATTTTTGTACTTTTTCAAATGACTTCTAGTTTATTCCGGATCAAAGGCTACGCTTCGCGTATACCAGTTTTTATGATTCGCTCGCAGCTACGAGTATTAAGGAATTTTTTTGGAAAGATTAAAGTGCGGCTTACCACGTGTTTCGCTAAATCTGATGAAATTAAAAATGGCAAGTATCGCAAGTAAAAACTCCTTTGTTTGTTATTATAACTGCATTTAAAACTGTATTATGTCAAGATAACATGTTACATTATATATGACCATTAGTTAAATTACTATTTGGCATGGAGAGATTTTCGAAAAATGTGTCCAATAATAAGTATGCGATATACAATACCTCGTCTATTGGAATAAGTTGTAACGTTTTACTAATGAGTGTCTAGTTAAGGATGGGAAGATTTAATAAAAGATTTATTAGCAGTTAAGAAGTTGTATTTATCTCTTCAGTCTAAAGTTACAATCCCTGGACTAGCTCAGATACAATATATTTTAAATTATAATAAAATAAGTTGGGCGCCTTGTCTGTTAGGAACAGACTGTTGTAATAATTACAATTAAGTATCTCAGGGAGGTCTTCAGTACATAGGACCTACACATTACTTTGTGCGACCATAAAAAGGTTAGATAATTTAATTGATATGAGATTGTATAAGTTAAAAGTTATATGCAATTAAATTTAAGTACAAAGTCCAATCAGGAGGTTATTTTAAATCTAAGTCTCCGCAGACACCTGCCCTGTGTGTACAGGTCAGCATTCAGCTCAGAACCAGCAGAGAAACTCAGACCAAGTGCAGTGGTAGAGCCACACAGTTGGGGGGTATGTAGGAGACCTCCAACTGGAGGTAAAAAACAATATTTAATCGAGCAGCAGCTTAGACCAGCTTGCCAGCCACCTATGCCTTCAGCATACACCACGAGGAATAACAAATCCAGCACAGAGTTTCCCAGGCAGCAATCACAAAAAATACGATCAGGAACGTGTTCTGATTTCAACCTCTAGCCATGCACAGTCGAAGATAATGGATCCACAAAAACTAATTTATCCAATGTCAATTCGAACCGGCGACAATCTCAAATGACAAGTACCAACAAATGAACTTAATTTTTTGATTCGAGCTTTCGCAAAGGCAAAGGTTCATAGGACATGCAGCCTAGTCTTTAGAAAAACAACAATTTAGACAAAGTGATGAAATCACCCGTTACAAAGTGTTGAAGTATAATAGAGAAAAGAGAGAAGTCGCAGAAACTATCGATGGGTTTTAAAGACAATAGAGTCTTTAAATAATTGTGCAAAAGCAAAGGACACACGGCAATGGCTTGAATTGTAAAATAAAACTATAGACCATAAAATAAGAATATCACAGCGGTAACTAAACGAGCTTTATTGTTCTATTATTACATTTACGAAGAAATAAGAATATTGACTTTAAAGGAAATTTATTTATTTCTTATATTTACTCTTCGGTTTGGCACATGCCATCTACTTTTCACCATGACAAGGGTTGACTGGTAGAGAACGCCATTAGGCATCAGGCTTTACAGTGGTAGGGCCACGTAGCAGCCTCGGCTGTGGCACGAATGGGCAGGCTCGTCCGGGTAAGTGCCACGACCTCACAGAAGACCGGCGTAAAGTGGAAGTATAATACTTTCGCGTTTCGTCTGGTGAGTGTGGTAGCCGGAGCCCAATTTTCAAAAGGTTGTCAACGCATCTGCAACCCTCGGGTGTAGCGGATGTCCATGGGCGGCGGTATTAACATCAGGTGAACCGTCTGCTCGCCTGGCAACTTTTCACATTAAAAAAAAACAAATAATCCCCGCCACAGATACAAAGCCAATGAGTGTAGTTCCGATCAATCATCGTACTCTATGATAAGTATACATATAGAGACACTTCTTTATTATGCTGGTCTTCCTATATGTATATCCCCAACGGGGCACATTCATACCTGTAAGTACCCAATCCACAGCATGACTCGGTGGAAAGTTCAAGGTGGCGCCAGGGGTAGTGAGTTCGATTCACACACGGGACAACTATTTTCGTGACCCACATATAATTGCTGTGGATCTGGGTGTTTGTCCATGTGAAATTTATTCTTTTAAGACGTCCTTAAAACACAGGATAATGACATTCAAGGTGTTTGGTTCCAAAGTATGAAGCTTGAGTGAGACAACAAATAGTTTATATACAAGCCTTTCTCCTCTATCGAAAATGCGTTAAAAATCTTTGATATCGGACAGTAATGTGCAAACTCCGTAGAACATCAAACCGAAACCGTAATGCAGCCAATCTAATAAAACTTGAGCCGCAGCCTTTTGACTATTTCGACTACTCGAAAGCTCGAAATAAGCCAGACCGAGCTTTCGACCGCGCCGTTTCGCACCTTGAAGTACCCGGCCTCGGTCCGGACCACAGCCCGCTTGCTTTATGAATTCTGCGAGCTAATTACCACAAGCTATTTCCGACCCTCGGACCTAGGACCTTAAGGCTCATATTTGTGTGCAGCGCACTCGAAAGTTCCTTAAACGAACCAACAAAGGCGCGCAAAGGTGCTTTATAGGAACGCTTTGTTGCGTACGTAGCTCGCGAGTTGGCTGTTGAGAGCGCGTATTGTTTCATACGGGAGAGTGCTACGCTCTTTGTTGTCAGGTCGAGAGGCTTAGCGTTAGTTGTTTTTTAAGTCTTCCTCTGTTTTTACTGTCCGTGAAGTCGGAGCGATTTATATGTTAGACAAATGTCTTTGTTCCTCTGTCTTAAGTTGTTCAGTGTTAACTGATTAAACAGAATAATTTATATTGGAGTCACTACGATACCGGATAATATTATCCTTTTGTGTAAATCAATATAACATTGTTGTATCCTTGTAAAGATGTTTAATAAAAAATGTTTAAATGACATTTAAAACCGGTAACGGAAAAACAATCTTTACGTATGTTTTTTTTCCATTTAAAGGCGATATACGGCGACAGTAATGTGTTTTCAACGTAGAACCGACACTATTACACTGCACTTTATTAATACACAGTATGATATGCCAATTGATTCAGAAAAAGTATCAACTGTTCTGAAATTATACTTATATATTATGTCACATGCTATATGTCGAGTAATAACGCTGTCTTGATATTGGAGACACGTCTTGTATTTGACTATCTGTGTATATTACTTTGAAGAAAGAAACAAGAAAGAAAATACATTTATTTACCAAAAACAACTTTATACAACGACCCGATTGGCGTAGTGGGTAGTGACCTGTTTCTTGCGTCAGAGAGTGTGGGTTTGTTCCCCACTACTGGAAAAATATTGTGAGATGAGTTAATGTCTTTCTAGTGTTTGGGTATGTATTTATCTATAATATATATTTATAAAGTATGTTTAAATATTTTCATCAGTTACCTTGTACACGTAGCACAAACAGTTGCTAAACTATTGGCTTCGGCCCCGGGGGTCGTGGGTTCGACTCCTACACAGGACAAATATTTGTGTGACCTACAGATGATTGTTCTGGTTCTTGGTGTTTCTTTCCCAAGGATGGTGACGTAAAAAGCCTAGCCAAAACCACTTACAATACTTACATGTTGTACCGACCTTACATAGCCGGGATAAAGGCAAGAGGATGATGATGAAAATATTATAGCCATTACAAAGTAGGGGCTATCCTGGAGATATTATAGCCTTGAGAAGGTAGGGATTCGCCTGAAGAGACTATAGCCATTACAAGGTTAGCTGCGAAGCAGATTCTCAGATAGCATAAAAGGTATCTGAGATCGCAGATCGATCCCGGATGTTACACATTTCCTTTTGTTTCTTCATATCTAACGTCATCGTAACGAGTTTTGGAGAGCAAAGATAGATACATAAGTATCTAAGTTTCTTTGCTCTCCAAAACTCATCATCTTTCACATAGCAGAAGCTATTTCCTCCGTACGTAGAATAAAGCGAGCAACCTCGTAATGAATGCCTTATTTTCAGTAAGTTTAACGTATTGTGGTTGATATTTCATATTAACTACAACGAATACATTTAATCGGTAATTTTGTGACCGTGGTGACTATTTTTATTTAATTGCGCAGATTGACGAGCAATCATAAAAAAACACCGGAGGAATATGTAATTTTGACAGAAAAGAAACAGTCTGCAGCGAATTTTATGGACCTTCACACCTGATTTAGAGAATTGACAAATATTAGTTGCATCGTTGATTACTCCTTTCACTTAACATTATGTTACTACGTGTAAGAACATTCGTTTAATGCAGCATGTATTGTGCAATGTATTTTCCTTTTAATAATGGGGCAATTTACTCGTGTTTCAGTATTTATTTATTATTCGTATTATTTACTCCTTTTTGGACTGTGAAT